TTTGAAGACCCCTGCATTAGAGCATGTGAATTGTTGCTAACGGTGTTTGGGATATTTTGGAACTTATTTTTAATCTATAATTTCTACTCTGCTTGTAGCACGTATGGATGCTGCTCAGAGTCTGCTAGGGTTGGAGGGGCCTAGAATTTATTAATTTATTGAAATTAATAAATAATGAATAAATGATCAACAAGATCACACCATCACAAGATCAGAGCATCTCCATTCAGACCTCTTATAACCTTCCCTAAATGTTTTTTTTTTGTAAGATAGAAAAGATTTAGACTAGGTTACATCCTTAATGATGGTCATGCCGTATGTTGCATTTTCTGCTAACCATGTTGATATAACTCAACAACAGTGTCGATAGTATAGTTTGGGCACATTTTTCATGTGCTATAAACACAACTAAGGTCATGTTTTATCTCCAGCAACATTGACATTTTTCCTTCCTTCCTTCCTTTCTTTTTTTCTGTTGATTCTTGGCAACCATTTGCAGTGCAGTTTTCTTAGCAAGATTTCAGAAGTGGTTCGCAACTGCCTTCTTTCTAGGACTGAGAGGGAGTGATTGATCCAAGATCATCTAGCTGGCTTTGTGTCTAAGGTACGATTAGAACTCACGGTCTCCCTCGTTTCTATCCTGGTGTCTTAATCACTTCGTACATCAAGCTGGCTCTCCTATGCTACCCAGAACATCCCACAAAGAAGAGGGAGTCAAGCTATTTTCCAAAGCACCTGAAGGCAGGACAAGAAGCAACGGATGGAAACTAATCAAGGAGAGAAACAACCTAGAACTAAGGAGAAACTTCCTGGCAGTTAGAACAATTAACCAGTGGAACAACCTGCCTCCAGAAGTGGTGAATGCTCCAACACTGGAAGTTTTTAAGAAGAGATTGGACAGCCATTTGTCTGAAATGGTTTAGGGTTTCCTGCCTGAGCAGGGGGTTGGACTCGATGACCTCCAAGGTCCCTTCCAACTTTATTATTATTATTATTATTATTATTATTATTATTATTATTATTATTATTATTATTGTTGTTGTTGTTGTTGTTGTTGTTGTTGTTGTTGTTGTTGTTGTTGTTGTTATATAATATGGAAGCTACTTTGCATGCCACAATACTGTTCCCTACATCCCACCCACTAGGACAAATATGCATGATACAGGTAGAATTCCTCAAGTCTGATTTAGGGTAAGGTCTGCGTGGGCTGTTCAATACATTAGGCAACAGTTGCTCTCCAAAACTTTCAATCAGACCTGATTGAATTGCATCTGTTGTTTCAGTAACAGTGAACATTTTCATGGACGTGGTTGTTAGACTGTCCATCCTTCCTTCTTTTCATCCAGGTTTAGGATCAGCAATATCAGGCCTTTCCGCATTACGCAAAGTCAAAACTGTGACCACTTTATACGGTAGTATACGTTCAATTATGTAAGAATTTACTATATGAGAATTATGTAGATAGGAATTCACTATCTATTTATATTCCTTTCTGCATGTCGTTATAATTTAGTACAAAATCAAGGTGGAAGGAAAATGAACATGGGAAACATTTCTTCGTCAGTGTCCAGCTCCTCATAAATACAGATAGATTGGCACTGAAACATGTAAGAAATACTATTCCAAGAGAATCCCTGAGCCTAAAGAGAGATGTGGAGGCCTATCATTTATGGAAGAGGTATTCCTTTATTCTTTTATTTATGAACTTTATACACTGCTGACTATGCAATAGATCAGGAACTGCTTGTGTGCAAGCTAAAACGGAAGGAGAAAACTAATCAATTTCCACAATATGATTCTGAGCGCACACCCACCATTTTCAAAGAGAATATCAGGCTTTGCTTTGATATGGAACCAGGGGAACAGGAGAATGAAAACAAAGTTCTTAAGGATGAATGCGGAGACTGGCAAAGCCCAACAAACAGAAGAAAACAAAACTGATGTCAAAACAAATGGTGGTAATTGCCAAGAAGGGAAGCCAAAGCAAAGACGAAAAAAACTCCGGAAGGAAATTAACAAAGGGTTGCTAGAAGAGACAAGAAGCTATATTAGGACAATGAAAATGGAAATAGACATGGAAAAATAAGGTTTTCTAAAAGACCTTATGATTCAGAAGGGGGTTATAGGCTAAATTGGCATGGTAAAGGATGCAAATAGATAAGATAGTAACTGATTCCAAGAAAATCAAATGAAGATGGAAGGAATATACTGAAATTATGTACAGTACAGATAAGATCCAATATATATTAGATAATATTCCCTATTTACAAGAACATCTAGGATGAAAAGAAGACGTTAGAGCAATACCCCCGTTAGAAGGCTTTAGGCACTGATGGAAAACAAGCAGAAATACAGCAAACAGCACAAGAGGAATCAGTAAACACTGTAACCAAGCCATGCCAGCAAATCTGGAGAACCACATAGTGTCCAACAAACTGAAAGAAGTCAGTCTACCCATACATGCCAATAACAAAGAAAGAAGATTCTGTTAAGAGCCTGTAAATCATAACATCCTTATTTTCACATTCTTAAGTTCATAATACATAGGATCGTCCAAGGTAAAATAAAGTCCTTCGTAGGAAAAGTGTCAGATGGTCAAGCTGGCTTTAGAAATGTTTAAGAAATGCAAGACATTATTTCCGATGCATGTTGGATAACTGAGAAAGAATACCAAAAGATGTTGGCATGAGCTTCATTGGTTTATAAAGCATGAGCTTTATATTGGTTTATAAAGGTAAAGGTCCAGTGGTGTCTGACTTTAAGGGGTGGTGATTATCTCTGTGTCTTAGCCAAGGGATGCAGCGTTGCCCGAAGACACTTCTGTGGTTATGTGGCCAGCATGGCTCTATGCCAAAGGCGCACGGAATGCCGTTATCTTTCCACCGATGTGGTACCTATTTATCTACACGCATTTTCATGCTTTCAAACTGCTAGGTGAGCAGGAGCTGGGGCAAGTAACAGGAGCTCACCCTGTCACACAGCGCTCAAGTCTCGAATCCGGGCTGTCATCTTTATAGCTGACAAATCACCATCTTTAACCTCTGAGCCATCGCATCCCCCTCATTGATTATAGAAAGGCCTTCAATTGTGTCAGTCACATTAGCTTTGGAAAGGACTCAAGATAAATGGGACTCACAAAACATCTCATTATCCTGAGAAACGTACACATAGCTCAGGAAGCCACAGTATGGAACAGAATAGGGTGAGATGGACTCGCTCCAAGTCAGCAAAAAAGTGAGACCTGGCTACACACTCTCCCCTTATTTATTCAACCTATACGCTCAATGTATATTGAAGGAGACTAGATGGGAAGAAGTTGAGCCTGCTTTTAAACTTGCAGGAGGAAACATCAATAACCAATGACACGTTAATGACACTATTTTGATCCCGAAATTTTAAATGATCTGCAATCTCTAGTAATTAGAGCCTAGGAGCACAATGAAAGAGAAACAAAATGGACTAAATGTAAAGAAGACCAAATTAATGACAACAGGTATAGCAATTCTACAGCCTTAGAATCGGTCAATGGAAGTGCTGAAATGGTAGGTAGCTTCTGCCTTTTTAAAACTTACTATCAAGTTTGCTTCGTGTACTTAAAAACGCTTTCATATCCCCTCGCAAATTTCTTTAGGCAAAATGTAACCACGTCTCTTAATATACAGGTAGCCTACAACCTATGAGCCCAAAATTTCTGCTACTGAACAAGGCAGTTGTTGAGTTTTGCCCATTTTACAACCTTTTTTGCCACAGCTGTTAAGTGAATCACTGCAGTTGTTAATGCAGTCCTTAAGCGAATCTGGCTCCCCCCCCCCCCCCCCGTTGACTTGGCTTGTAGGCAGCTGGCTGGGAAGGTTACTGATGGTGATCACATGACCCTGGGACAGGGCAGATGTCATAAAAACCTGCCAGCTGCCAAAGGCCCAAATTTGATCATGTGACCATGGGGGTGCTGCAATGGTTGTAAGCGTGATAACTGGTCGTAAGCAGGGCTTTTTTCCTCATAGAACGCCCAGAACGGAGTTCCGGCACCTTTTTTGGATGGAACCTTGTAGGGTAGGCAAGGCGGGTTGTATGACGTGTGTGAGTTCCGGCACCTTTTTTTTTTTTTTTTAGAAAAAAAGCACTGGTCGTAAGTCACTTTTTTCAACGCCAATGTAACTGCAAATGGCCACTAAATGAATGGTTGTAAGTCGAGGTCTTGATTTCCAGGCCTTCTTGATCCTGCTAGTCCTCTCCCTAAAGCTGTTTCAATTCATTCAAATCCTTCTTAAATCATGGTGCAGTAAAGAAATACTATACAGTCCTGGTCTTAGGAAGGGGGGGAGACAACAATGAAGCATTAAAGGAAGAGAAATTCAGTCCGGGGAAAAATGGAAAGTGTGAAAAACAATCTCCATGAACCTGCCTTGATTATATTTGATATAATGTGGAACAAGAAAAACTCAGCCATGTTTTCAAGATTCTGTCATCCTATCCCTCAGTGCTCTCTGAGCTTGGTTGTTTTCTTGCAGGTATTTCATTACCCAACTATATAACATGTTAATGCTAGATGTTACCTGGCTGGGTAATGAAACATCTGTAGGAAGTTCAACTCCAAGCCGTAAATATTCTTTTCTATTAATAAACAACATTCCTGGAATCCCCATTGCTTCTGTTTCTTGACCTGACCTACACCTTGAAAGGTAACAGATGCCCAGAACAGAACATGGTACTCAAAGTGGGATCTAATCCATTCCAAATAGAGAGGAATCATCACTACCAATGGTTCTATGACCACATCCCTCTATATCTACAAAACCAAGGAATCTCTCCACAGTTCAAATTCATTGCAAAGACGGAGATTGGAGCAGGTGTTGGGAGCAGAATGTTCTCAATAGGTATTCGTGAACTGCATACCTTTATAAAGCCATTCATCCAATGACATTTTCAAACAAGTATAAATTGCTAAAATAACCATTTTTGAAGCAGCCTTCTGAAGTCTTGACTTGAGCAGCACTTACCTCTCTCATGTGCCTCTTGATATGCAAGTATACACACTGTCCAGTCTTACGATAATGCCTTTCTACATGTTCCCTTCCAAATCCCAGGAAAGTATTCATGCAAACGTAAAGGCCTCCTTCGGAGTCCTGTGGAGAAGAATAGAAAAGTATTAGGGCACATTTAGGGCACCTGACAGAATTCTTCAGCACAGTAAGGGACATAAAAAATCTCCTTTAAAGAATCACAGACTTGGAAGATTTCTCAGATGTCTTCTAATTCAACTTCCTCCTAAGTGCAGAATTTGATAAATCATTTTGGATAGATGGTTATCCAGCCTCTGCTTTAAAAACTTATAAAATAATCTAATTTACTGATTGACAGCTTTACCATTAGGAAGTTCCTCCTAATATGTCAATTGGCTCTACTTTCCTGTAGTTTTAACACTGGTTCTAGTTCTGCCTTCAGGGGCAACAGAGAATTCTGTTCCTTCTTGTTTATGATAATCCATTAGATATTTGAAGACTGGTATAATATCTCCCTTCAGCCTTCTCTTCTTTTGTACCATTAACCATTCCTACATGACATGGTTTCTCATCTCATCACTATTTTGTAGGTCTCTTCTTAAACCTGCACCTGTCAATGTCCTTGTTAGACTGTTGATGCTAGGAACTGACATTGTATTCCAAGTACAGCCTCACCAAGGAAGAAGATGTCCTATGGCCATGGTGGCGAACCTATGGCACGCGTGCCACAGGTGGCACGCAGAGCCCTCTCTGTGGGCACGAGCACCATCGCCCCAGTCCTAGGCCTTCAGTTGGGTTTTATAAAACTTTTTCGCTTTAGGCCTCCGCCGCTGTGTGCAAAAAAACCAAAAGGTTCAATCAATTTCAACTTCTCACGGGGAAAAAAAAGATCTCGCAAAGTTGGAATTGATTGATTGAACTTTTTAGTCCCACCCAATCTGCCATTACCATCGCAGCCACACCCACCCAATGGGCCACGCCCATTCGGCACCCGATGATACATAAGTGGGTTTTGGGTTGCAGTTTGGGCACTCGGTCTCTAAAAGGTTCGCCATCACTGTCCTATGGTCTGGACCCTATGCTCTTGTTAATACATCCCAAAATATCATTTGCCATTTTAACATCTGCATCACAACACTGGTGCATGTTTAGTCTGTAATCCAAGCATCCAGTCACATTCTATCGGCTCAAGAAGCAATATGCTGTAGTGGTTAAAATGTTGGACAAAGTGTGATGACACCCAGGTTCTAGTTCCCCTCATCCTTGGAAGCTCACTGAAAGACTTTGGGCCAGTTGTTCTCTCTCTGCCCAAGATACAGTATAGTAGTTAAAGTGTTGGACAACTGCATGGGTTACTTTAAGCCAGTCACACCCTATCAACCCCAGACTGAAAAATTGGAAAACATAATTTTACCAATCCACACTAGATTAATGTAGTAAATTACACTGAAGATCTATAACCTTCAACGAAGAGGCCATCATCCCACAGATGATTTGGACTGATAATAACACATACACCCTCCCACCTACACAGACACACAATCTGTATATCAAAGGGTCTCCACCTTTTCTTGGACCAGTGGGTATATTTCACATTTTGAGAGCATGTTGCAATCATTCAAAGGAAACAGAAGCTATGCGCAGCTTTCCTGCTCACAAAGCACAATCAGAGTGGAAACAGCCAATAACAAAAACCCTGTAAAAGGCAAAGTGAGGAAACTCTTTCTTGCAAATTTTCCTTGTGACGCCCCCTCCCCCCATTATGAACCTCAAGCATATTTGCTACAGAATAAGCTCAAACCAGAAACAGTATTTGCAACTTCATTCTTGGTATTAGAGTTTCTGAAGAGCTCATTTTCTAAAAGCATATTTGGGGACAAAGGAGTAGATGACTCGGAGAATAATGATGGTTTAGATCAGAGGTTCCCAACCCCCAGTCCATGGACTGGCACAGGTCCACAGCCTGCCCAGAACCGGTCCACACAAGCAAGCAAAGCCCCATCCACGCACTTGCGGAACCATGAAATCACACCCCCACCCAGTCCACGGAAAAACTGCTCTTCACAGAACCGGTCCGTGGAGCCCCAAAAGTTGGGGGCTGCTTTGTTAGATAATCTAGTTGAACATTATATGTGATATGTTTTTATGTTTATTGCGCAGGATAACACTGTATTGTTCTCCTTCTGAGTTGCTTGGAGCCTATGGGATACAATAAATTTAAAATAATAATAATAGCTCTGAAATAGCATAAAAGCACTTGTGATAATTAAATAAATACAAGTGACAGATAAATAATTCTTTTGTCTTTTCCCCTTCCAAAGCAATTGGCTCTTAACAGCCACTAGCACTTCCCAGCAGATAATGTGGCTAAGAAAAACTGATAGAAGATTTAAAGAACATCAAACACTACGAATATTTTGGATTTTTAGACTGTCCTCGAATAATCCAGATTTTAAACAGCCAAGGCATGTTACTCAACCGGTCTTATTTTTTTTTCCATGTAGATTTTGTTCTTTGTTTTGACTTTGAAATTATTGCTTGAATTGAGCATTTAGAAAACATGAGACAACCACAGGCTTCAGAACAATTTATAAAGGAAAACAGCAAAGTCTGAACAGTACTTCCAAGGCACTCAAAAGCTAAAAATATGGCAAGAGAATCTCAAAGCTTGGTGAGGAGGTGCATGTTTCATAAATACATTAAAAAAAAAAAACAAGCTGCACACAATGATGCCTCTATAACAGGGTTTCTCAACCTTGGCAACTTTAAGACTTGTGGACTTCAACTCCTAGAATTCCTCAGCCAGCTTTGCTGGCTGAGGAATTCTGGGAGTTGAAGTCCACAAGTCCTAAAGTTGCCAAGGTTGAGAAACCCTGCTCTATAAAGGTTCCCATACTGAGGAACAGCACACTAGAAAGACTACATCCAAGTAGCTGCAGGTAGTCCTTGATTTACAACCACAATAGAGCCCAAAAATTTTGTAGCCCCCACGTAGAGTGTTTTACTGTAATCTAACATGCAAGGTTATTAAAGCTTTTAGATCCCTGCAGCCATTTTCTCACGTCCAAGAATGGCTACAGCTGTCAATTTTACAGCTGTCGAAAATACAGCTATTCCAAGCCAAAAATAGGCACTCTTCGCCATTGCAGTCACCTGGGCCTCCCCTCCATGCTGTACATCTTGCTTTTTTAGGACAACTAGTTTAATCTAGAAGACGACCCATTTCTCTGCTTGTTGATAGCATTCCACATTGATGGGATTCGGTGTCAGCTTCCTACTCGTAAGACAGTAGGAACAAACTTAAAGAAGGGTGCAATTAGAGACACTACTGAGATTGGATAACAACTGAGCTCTTCCTAGAACTAAGGGTTCCCTAAGTCAAAACATATAGTGCTGGCTAAAATATACTGTAGCTAACTGGCTTGTGGGTTGTTCTGTTCTGCAAACCAAGGCAGTGTGATTAGTTTATTGTTCAGTGCGGTGCACAAACCCAGACAGTTAGAGTGATTCAGTAAACATTTACTGTATTCAGCTAACCATGCGTTAGCAGGTTGTGTAATTTGAGCTTGTAGTTGACATTTGTTTGCAGAAAAGATAAGTACAGTTCAACTGCAACAAGTTACAGCCAATCCCAACAAGGTTCCACTTTTGACTCAGGTTAATTAAGTGGTTAAAATACAATGCATCACTGCGTACAGAGACTCATTGCAAAACATGGTACATCATAATGCCGATTCTGCTTATAGAGCAATATAGTCCTCAATCATCACAAATTTTAAGTATCTTGGAATGAACCAGAAGAAACTGCCTTAGCAAAGTTTTAGCCACGTAAGCTTTCAGTACAGGGGGACGTCCTTCAGCCAGTCGACCTTAAGTACTTAAATCTATAACATTGTTTTGGAATATTTTTGGCCTTCCTAATCAGCGCAACTCCCTATTCAGAGAGACCTGCTGGGTGACACTTGAGATTTGAAGTGTGTGGGTTATAAATATATCCTATCTTCCAGCGAGGTGACAAACACCAGGCAGCTGAGTAGCCTTTGAATGCGTACCGAACTTTTCATGGGCAAAATACAAAAAAGGCAACCTTAAAAAAGGGCAACCCAACATCTAAAAGCTGAGACTCCTTGAAATATATATATTCTTAACAGAGGAGTAAAACAAAGCATTGAAAGGAAGAAAAGTATTTACCAACATTTTCCCTCTTTCTGCTTCCATCTTTGTCAGCTTCCTCTGGATCAGGGGTCCCCAGCCCCCAGTCCATGGAACGGCATTGGGCCGCGGCATGCCAGCAACCGGTCCGCACAAATAAGCAAAGGCCCATCCGTGGGATGCAGGCAGCACACAAAACCACACCCTCTCCGGTTCGCGGAAAACCTCTGTCCACAGAACCAGTCCCTGGTGCCCAAAAGGTTGGGGGCCACTGCTCTGGACTTTTAAAAAAACATACTTTATAGGAAGTCCTCATCTTATGACCATAATTGGGACCCAAATTTCTGTTGCTAAGCAAGACATTTGTTAAGTGAATTTTGCCCCATTTTACAACCTTTCTTGCTACAGTTGTTAAGTGAACCACTGAAGTTGTTCAGTTACTAACATGGTTGTTAAGTAACTCTGTCTTCCCCGTTGACTTTGATTGTCAGAAGGTCACAAAATAAGATCACATAACCCCGGGACACTGGAACCGTCATAAATATGAACCAGTGGCCAAGCATCTGAATTTTGATCACGTGACCATGGGCAAGCTACAACGGTCGTAAGGGTGAAAAATGGTCATAAGTCACTTTTTTCAGTGCTGTTTCACTTTGAGCAGTCTCTAAAGGAACTGTTGTAATTTGAGGACTACCTGTATTTATTTATTTACTGACTTACTCAACTGAAGGGCTGCCTTTCTGCCAGTGCTTCAAAATGAGTTTATAATTTAAAATAATGGCTTACAATTATTTACAATAGTTTTCTTTTTTAAAAAAAAATAATAATAAGAGGGAATGTAGAAAAGAACGTCAGAAGGTAGAAGAAAATTTAAAACTTCAAATGTGAATTTTCTTTCTTTAAATATAAAGGAAGCCGAGAATGCTAACCTAGCCAGAAGAAGAAAAAGTTATGCCTTAATAAATGTATTG